GAGTTTTATATTCCTATCTGAATTAATCGACATGAACCCGAATAATTACCCAATTGTCCAAACCTATTTCATTCTTCTCCCAACTTCAACTTATTTTTGTTTTTTTTCTTCTAAATTAGACATATTCATTCGAATTCTTTGATCTATATATCCCAACGAAATTATCCATATTCTTTGCAATATATTTTAATTTAAAAAAAAATTACATATTTTCTACCTTGATTACAAATCTTTCCAAACAAAGGCGATTCACCGAGCAAGGAGTTGGCTCGTCGAGAAGTTGCTTGTCGAGAAAATGGGGCCATTCCTCCTATTTGATACACTTGTTCTAATCAAAAGCTTACAACGTTTCTTCTTGTTTCTAACCACGCTCTCTCTTAAAGGTAGCCTGAAACAAACCTTAGCCGTTTGACTCTAGGATGAGCCCGACACAGCGTGTACACCACGTTCCAGCTTCTTGATGTCTTCTCCAATTCTCTTACCACCAATGCAAGCATGTGCCTGAATATTGTTTAGTATGTACTCCAATAGCTTCTATATGGTCTTCTCTGTCTGTGAAGCCAATTCTCTTGATGAAGACAAAACCAAAACCTGAATCCTTGAGACCCAAACAAAAAAAACTTGATTAGTACTTGAGATCAAAAACAAACAAGGATATCAACTTGATCATAATAACAAAGAAATATCATTAACCATGTAATAATACCAAAGTCAATTACAGAGAAAAAGATCACCAATTATGTAAAACAAAGTTGATTAGTAAGTGTTCCTCATCTTAAATCACAAAACCAGATCAATAATCATGTAACTCTAAAAAAAATTGGCTCTTTTAGAACACAGTTCAAAATCCTCAATTGTAATGAAACCCTAAATAAATCTGAAATTAAACTTTAAAGTTTACGTTTTTCGATCATGGAGGTAAGACTTTTACCAGTACCGGGCATTTTGTTTTTTAAAAGTCAGACACGGTTTGGGAAAAAAAAAAATGGATCGGACACGTGTCGGACGCGGGTTGGACCCGGATCGGATGCGGGTCGAACACGGGTCGGATCCGGGTCGGACGCGGGTCGGACACGGGTCGGACGCGGGTCGGATACGGTTAAGACACGGTTTGGCATGAGAACCGACATAAAATCACCTAGGGATGCGTGCCAAACCGCGTTAAACCCGTATCCTAACCGCGGTTTAACCGTGTCTGAATAGGCCAATTTTTATTAAATTGATATGGACTCGGTTTAATATGTCTGGGCCAAATAACCTTTTTGGGCCGCTCTAATGGCTACAAATTTTACAAGGAACTATTTTTTTCTCCCTTTTCGATTACTAATTAGGGTTTTCTCTGTATAGACGACAAAGAACTGTAGTGAAGATTGAGAGAAAATGTAGGACGAATCCAGAGAGTAATTTTGTTCTTGAATTCGAAAAATCTCAACTTCTTGTTTAAACTGATTGGTACTATAAACTATTAATCGATATTTGTCAGAGCTTATTTGAGAAACTTGTGCTCGGATTAGGAATTTAGGAACAGAACATGGTTCTTGTTCTACAAGTTACACAGCTGATTATAGATTTTATGGTTATTTGACAGTTTTCTTAATGGAGGCAAGCTTTTGAGTCAGATACATGGAGTTGAGTTATAGTGTAAACTACTGATTAGAAAGAGCTTCTTGTGTTTATTCTCTTGTTCTATGGTAATTTGAAGCAGATGGTGTGTGATTGGTTACAAAGTACAAGAATGCAAAATCAAACCTTAAAACTTTGAAGAGAATCAAAGCATCATTGTAAGGAACACTTCTTTGAATGCACTAAAGACGCGCTCAAGTAGAGTTTCGTTTAAAATTAGTAATGGGGAACTACGAAGAATGTTACCACGGACAAGCTTTCCCCATCGGTACACTAAAAAATCACAAGAAAGCCAGCCGCTTGCTTTGTCAAGACTTTGCAGTTCAAGCTTGTAATTGCTTTCTTGTTTTTATTTTGCCAAGGGAACAAATGTATATGTCATCTTCATTTAGCAATCTCGAGCCAAGGTTATCCGTCCCTTGGCTCGATATTGCCAAACCTCGTTGAAATCGCCAACTAAAAACCATGATTATTATTTTGACAACCTTTAGTACTCATAATATATAATTGCAAAAGAAAAAGTGGATGATCATGATGCGCCCGTTTAATTATGTGGACAATTTCACTAACGGAATCAAACTATAAAATCTCAATTGTTATGTGGTTCAATGTTTTTGACTAGTGAAAGATTTAGAGGAATAAAAACAAGTTGTAAATTTTTTTCACTTGATTCAAAAATAAGTTGTGTATATACCGTCCTTCAATACCAGCTCTAACCTGTCTTGTTACCAACCATGTAAGTTCCTCTACACTTCTACACCAAATTTTGTTTCTTGTGTGGTGAATTGGTGATGCAATGATTTGAGAAACATGGATTGTGTGTAAACAAAATGATGCAACTATGATACAAAGTGCATGAGAAACAATGAAAACTCAAGTCCAAGGTGCCTCTTTTATTGTTTGTTTACGCAGAATTGTCTCAAACATTTTCAAAGGTTTAAAAGACTATTGAAGACTAGCGATTTTCAACTAATTTTTGCCTTTATTAGTCATGCTTGTAAAACGGTTTGATAAAATGCATAAAAGAATAGTTGAGGCCAGAGATGATTACTTCAGGGCACATTGCCTTCACTAAGAAGAGCCATTTTATCCAACTTGGTTCTTCTATGTATGATTCTCCTCTACAAACACCTTGGAAAATTGCTTTTGCGCAGCTACTCACTGATTCCGATAGTATCAAGTCTGAACCAAACTATTATTTAAAGAACACAAAACATTTAATTAGCTAAAAGAATAAAATATGGATGAATAATGTTGTACAAAAAAGTATATACTTACTCTTTCTATAATCTGAGGAGTTGTCATATCCGTAGAGATTAGCCCCGGAAGAACAAGTGTAACTTTTATTTCCGGATTGAGTTCAGCTCTTAGTGCCTCATAAAATCCTAACAATGCTGCTTTGCTTGCCTACAATAGTAACCAAATACATCAACATGAACAAACTATCAAGTAATCAATGGGTGGTGAAGTAATCTTACCGAATAGACGGTTGCCAATGGGAAAGCTATTTTTGCTACCGCTGAACTAATCACAATTATTTTTCCTTTGCTCTTCCGTAGATGAGGAATTGCATAATAAGTGATGTACGTTGAGCCCCAAAAGTTAGTATCCTTCAAATAAACAAATTTTTAGTGAAAGAATGTCAACATATGGGGTAAAAACAATATAACTAAGGAATGCTTATTTTATTGTGCCATGAGCCGGCCTTAAAACTAGGAACATGCTTATGGGTATCATAAAACAAAAATTGAATAAAAAAATTAATAAAACAAAGTTTTATGAGACAATAGGTGTGATACGGATCAACACAAAGAGACCGATGAGACGGTCTCATGGGACACGTGGTGAAGCCACATTGGCTATTGAGATTTTTTGTTTCTTCTAAATAGTAAATATCATTAACGAAAATGAGACTTTAAGA